GGATTACAGGTGTGTGCCACCACACCAGGCTCAGCCCATTATATTTTGAGTCAGGGATCACTAAATTGCGTAGGCTAGGCTCAAATTTGGGATTCTGCATGGGCCTCCCAAGTACCTGGGGATTACAGGTGTGAAGCTGTAGGAGGATCACAAGTTGGAGCCCAGTCTTGACAATTTATTGATTAGTGAGCCCCTGTCTCAAAACTTGCTTTTTTCTGCCAGGTGTGATGGCACACACGTGTAATCTTAGCACTTGGGAGGCTGATGCAGGATGGTCCCTGTGAATTCCAGGCTGGCTTGGGCTACATAGTGAGGCAAGGCCAACCTGTACTACATAGTGAAACCTCATCTCAAAAACAAAACAAAGTTTCTTTTTTCCATATTTTCCCACATATTCAGTAATACAGTAGTGCTAAATTGTTTAGCTCTTGTTTATTATTTAAATCTTTATAGAATCTGTGTAACCTCAGCATTTGGGAGGTAGGAGGATTACCAAGAGTTTTCAGGCCAACCTGGGCTACATAGTGAGTTCAAGGCCAGCCTGAACTAGAAAGCAAGACCCTGTCTCAAAAAAAACAAACAAAACAAAAGAGTATAGAGTAGGATTGGTAAATTCCATGAGTTTCAAAACTTATTTCCTGTATTTTATTTCATCTCAGTAAAATCTAAGTAGAATTTTAGGAAAGACATTAAAAGTTTGATAAAACAATTTATGTAATATCCCAATTTTTAAATTTTCTTTTGTTACATTACATTTTTTCCTTAAAATATTTGTAATCCTTTAATATCTCTACATTATAATCTTCCTTGTAAAATTGTATTTTCATATCCTTTAAGTAATTGCAATGTTTTTTCTTCTCTTCACCTCTATTTAGTCCAAAAGAAACTCTTCCTTCAAAACCTGTAAAGAAAGAGAAGGAACAGAGGACACGACATTTACTCACAGACCTTCCTCTCCCTCCTGAGCTCCCTGGTGGAGACCCATCTCCCCCAGAGTCTCCAGAGCCAAAGGCAATTACACCACCTCAGCAACCATTTAAAAAGAGACCAAAGTGAGTTTTGGAGAGATCTGGTTTTTTTTTTTAAGTGTTGAAAAATGTCAGTCCTTTGTTCTGTGGAATGTCCCTCCATTTGGGTTTATCTGTTGTTTTCTGCAGAGAGATCTATTCTTAATTGCAGCTTTTGCCTTTATTTTTGGACTAAATCTATGTTTCTCCCACAGTCTATACCAGTAAAATCATAGAAGTTTGGTCCTAAAGTAGATTTTTCATTTTTATGGCCTAAAGCCTTTCTAGGAAGACCTGTTCATTTACACCTGCAGATACCTAGCTAGTTATGGTTTGGTTTTGTTCTTAAAGAAGTTGAATATCTTATTTGTTTCTTACTGTGCTGCAGAGCTGGTTTTTTTTTTTTTTTTTTTTTT